CTCAGGTGTCCCGGAAACGATGCTGCCACATTCCGTCTTCAGCTTTGACAGTTGGCTCTTTCTGGCAGACAGATCTCTGGCAAAGACTTTGGAGCCTTGATTCCGCTCTATCGCTTCTTCAATACGAGCTGTATTGAAGTTGCGTAAGTCCCGCCGCATGCATTTGGAGATCTGTCTGTTCAGATGCCTGTATGCTGTCAAGTCTGTTGAAGAATGTAGCTTCATCTCCCGTCTAACAGCCATGAGATTAAGAGTGTGATCGGAGAGTTTTTGTGTTCTTCTGCGGCGGGTCTTGCAGAACTTAGCTCCGACCGCATGGGCAGTTTCCACGAGCTTGTCATTCATATCGTCCACTTCATTGCAGTCTTCTAGGCACTGAAAACGGTTTTGTAACTCGAGCTGAAAGGTTTCGGGACTTTGGAACAGAGCACGAGGGGGACGGAGCGTTGACTTCATTAGACGAGACCTCTCCAACTTAAAGTTTAGGTTCAGTGTGCCTCTAACCATTCGGTGATCGCTACCAGTTTTCACCCTCGCGATCACGGAGACATCACTGAACAGTTGTCGTCTGGTCGGCATAATGAAGTCAATCTCATTTTTTGTCGAACCGTCGGGGCTCGACCAGGTCCACTTCCTGTGGGGCCGCTTCTGGAAGAAAGAGTTCATCATAAAGAGTCCCTCTTTCTCCATGAAGTCGGCCAGCTGCTGGCCCCTTGGGTTCCGTTGCCCTATTCCAAATTTCCCTACTTTCAGCTCACCGTTCTCTCTTGTGCCTAGTTTTGCGTTGAAGTCTCCCATTAACACCGTATATTGGGTTTTGGAGGAATGCATGGCTCTAGAGATATCCTCATACATTTGCTCCACCTCCTCATCGGGGTGTGCCGAGGTTGGTGCGTAAACCTGTATGACCTTCAGCGAATACCGTTTGGTGATTCTGAGTATAAGGTACGCAACCCTCGTCGACACACTCCCGATCTTTACAACGTTGTTAACGAGAGACTTGTGGACGATAAATCCGACATCTCCTTGGGACAGATGGTCCGACGGTCCCGGTGATAGAGCAAGTTGCCGGATTCGAGGATTACCGTGTCCTCCCCCTCTCTTCGGACTTCGGATAATCCTATAATATGCCAGCGCAACTTGTCTATCTCTTCTTCCAGCTCCACGACCTTCTCGCCAGTCCTCAGGGTGCGTGCGTTGTACGTTGCCAGGTCGAGTCGTCTAAGGTGGCAACCGAACCTCCACCGGATATTCTTAGCACCCCCTGCCCCGCCGTTACCATGGTTGCCACCGTAGCCAGGAATAGCGGGGCCGCCGGGAACTGGGAGCCGTCTGTTTGTTGCTTTAGTCATTGGGGGGTATTTGCCATAGTTGCCACGCTTGGCGAGCGGGTTGGCAACCGCAGTTTTTTTATTGTAATTTTGGCTATTTTCAGGAAGATGCTGCTGCCCATCTCCTGCCTGTTTCCCTTTGTCGCCTTTTACGACACCCACGGGAGGATATGGGGTAGTGGATATTCTTGACCGCCACTACACGGCAAGTAGCAAGTTTCTGCTTACGTTTGGGATTTCTTTGAATTAGCGCCTTCACAGCTTTTATCACTGCTGGAGTCCTAACAGACCGAGGGCGACCACTTCTTGACCTGTCATCTACACTAGAGTCTTCATTGTATCGTTTGATGGTACGATAAACGAATCTTTTGGTTATATTCAAATTTTTCAGTATGTCAAAAATTTGAATTGGCGCGTAACCGCAACGATGCAACGCAATAACTGCAACACGGTCTTCTTTAAGCGTCCACTCCATATTTAAAAATGAGTAAAATTCTAAAAAGTATACAGTTTTATTTTCATGAACAATTGAAATTCGAATTCAATAAACTTTTTTGTGGCCAGCATTCTAAAAGAAAAGTTTTTACTGTGTGACAATACTTATGACCCGACTAGGTATATTAGCCAAGAGTGGGGGACTGAATCATAAGCTTTTTGTAATGGATCTACGTGGTACATAGGTCGGACATCTCTTTCTGAACTTATTTCAGTATAACAGATTCTATGACTGATTGATCATTGGAGCCTTGACTGAATTATCGATATTATTTCTGTTGTTCAGCCAGTATGCTATTGCCAATAATGTGTTTATATATAAGTTCAGATACGCATGATGTAAAAATTCTCACCCCCTTTAGCCATGTGTGGGGCACTGAGTCGAATGCCTTTCTAGGCGGCGGAGAAGTTCCGACGTTTGCATTTAACCACTTTGCCAACGACCACGTCCTTGATTTCACAATCACCGCACGCAATCCATTTTGAGGGCGTGACATCACCTGATTTAAGTCCAGGTTACGAGTGATTCCCGCGCTCAAAATGGAAATCAGTGACTTATACAGGGTTATTTTAAGACTAGCCAAATTTAATAACTAAGTTCAAAATATAATTTTTTTTAAAATCCGCGTAAATAAGGTTTCTACATTTATTTGAAAATATCCGAAATTGAATGTGATTTATGGCCAACAACTACAGCGTACGCGCGCTTGTTTGTGTACGAGTCAATGAATGGAACTTTTGCCTACTATTTACTTCCTCAATGACACGCTCGCTACTAAGTTGATAACTACGTGACGCGAATTACGATTCCAATTTTCCCTTCATACTTGAAATGGTCAAACAGACATTTGTCCCAGCAAACGCTATCCTGATGGTACGCACAATTCTTGGCTTGTTATTGTCCAACCTGAAGCTTATCAGTCTGCCGAGAAGGGCCGTTGCCTTTGCGATACGGTCCCCAATTATTTTTCTCCAGGCTAGGATGGCGCTACTTTGTCTAGTAGTGAGTTCAGCCGTGGAAAGCTTGGCGTAAATAATACATAAAACTGCCAGTGCGGCGCCATAAAGCTGCGAGAAATCGATACAACCAGATGGTGAGAGCTGCTAGGTCAAAAATGTCTAAGTTAATGCGTGTGTTCTTATATTACTGGAGGGTGTTCATGTAATGATTGCTTATATAGGGAGTTGCCGGAGACGCATACCCAAGGTAGTACATATATATAGGATGGTCGGTTGCCTCACTACTATAGTACAGTTACACAATGTATAGTCCTAAATTAGGGACTTATGATAGTGAGGTCTATGATACAAAATCATTAATATAGAAGACCTCTATGATGCATAAGCATTATGATAGCAGAGCTATGACTTGAAGTCCCGTATGTAAAAGACATATAATAGTAAGGTCTATGAAATAAACCAAACATGTATGTGGAAGGTCTCAAATATGTAAAAGCATTATATTGAAAGAAATGGGACATAGATGGAGTGGTCGGCTGACCGACTGCTAATAGTACTGTTGCACAATGTATAGTCCTGTATTAGGAACTTATCATAGTAAGGTCTGTGATACAAAATCATTAATATAGAAGGCATCTATGATGCATAAGCATTATGATAGCAGAGTTATGACTTGAAGTCCCATATATAAAAGACACTTCGATCATGTGATCTGAATTGATCTGACCTTGGGATGGTGTAAGCCCAACGATAGTCGTATTGATGCTTGTTTCGTTCGTTGTTCGTTGTTTGGTGGATCGCTATTTTCAATGGTACTCGCTGCGTCTTGGTTTGACTCACAACCTAAGTAGCTTTGCCCGTAAGTCAGATCACTGCATTAAGGGGCTACAAACTATCTGACCTCCATGATATTTTATTTAACAACATAATAATATGTCTCTGTAAATTTCCCACCTTTAAATGGTTTAAGACTATTTGTTGGTGGGAGAGACAAACATGATCGAAAAATGCATATACTCAAGGTCAGTGACACAAACCCTATCTGAATTATTACTATTATCTTGCTTTTTGGCTACATCTGCTGTTAAAGTTGGTAAAAAATTACTTCGCGTACATCCGCTCTATGATCTTTAATACAATAGACCAACTTTAATATAATGGCACCGCAAAGTAACGCCCGATTCTATTATTTACATCTGCTGTTGTCTTGGTTGGTGGAGCATATGTGCGAGTGGTAGCTGGAGGGAGGAGACTTTCAAGGCTACGGCCGAAAGCCGCTCAATCTGGGAACCCATTCCCTTGAGGTAAGCGGTAGACTCATTACACGCTCTGCGGTTAAAAGTCGTGATGACTATGTAATTGGTGGTGATGCCTTACACTTACATAATATCTTCAGGAACGGCGGTCTGGCAGGTAGTAGCGCTCACGTAGGGCTTTTTTATGGCCAGTGTGCCTATTATTTCGACGTATGCCTAAACCTATGACGTGCATTAATTATGGCTGAATTTGATCATATTCTGTATGGCGTTTACACGCATTGACACCCGCGGCTTTGCTCGATGTTTGTGATTACTGACTATCAAGTAAGTTATTTTGGTGTGGACTACGGTCCAGTTCCCAACTTAACGTCCCTCTTCGGGAGGAGCGCGTTAGTTGATTGGCGCTCACCGCACACGGCGTGTGTGGAGCCGTGTGTTTCAACCACAATTGGAACATCGATAGCGGCATCCACGAGTTGCTTTGTAAATCGGGGCACCACATCCCCAGCCGTAGCATTTTCATCCGATGAGAGAACAGCTTCACGCCATAGTCGTTCAAATTCTGCACCATCAAATATATATGAGCGCAGAATGTACGGAACTCGGTCTGCCAGGTTTTGCTCGGTAACGGTCATCTATAGGCTCCAGCTAAGCAAAAAAATCGATGCATCCTAGTTTGATAGGTATAACACAACACGCACAATCTCCAAGTTCTCCCACTTCGCCCTAAAATACGCTCGCAATGAGTTCGAGCATACGGTGTACTCCAACAGCGGTGGGTGTCGCTCACTGAGTTCGAAAGAAAGGTCGTTACCAAGGCATCCGGTGTTGATGATGGATGGGGGGACTGCTAGGTGCTCTTGCAGCATCTCGCGCTCGGCTGACGACCCGCATGCTGTTGCGTCCAACGCTAGCTCCAGACGCGTCTGGTTATTATTGTTTTTATTATTATCAGACACAAAAGCGCGTTGGTGCGGTGCGCGGCGGCGAGACTGCTGGTGGTGTGCTGCGCGGTGGGGGGCGGGGGGCGCGGCCTGCTGCGCGCGCGCCCGCCCTCCGCCGCCGCCGCGCGTCGCTTCGCCTTGCGCGCGCTCGCCCACCTGCTCGAGGACAGAGCCTCCGACGCCAGGTATAATAACACTTTTTTATAGAACAAGGCTGACTAACGAACACATAGTCCACCTGGTGGTAAGTAGATGCTGCGGCCCATAGACATCTACATTTATCTTCGATTAAGAATCAAAATGCAGATGCGTTGTCAGTCCTAATGACTAAGATACCGGATACTCTTTTTACTGGAGACAAGGCGTAATGCCTTGTCTCCAGTAAAAAGAGTATCCGGTTCTCGACACTCACCATACGAATTACAGCAGCATTAAGCTGTTTTGTTACGGTAAAATTTGTAACAGCATCCGAATATAGATCGAGTATTGTGTTAAAATAGAAAGATACAGAACTTATTTTATCGCGTCTGCATTTTGATTCTCAATTGAGGATAGACGTAGGTATCTATGGGCCGCAGCATCCAGCAGGAGCTTTTACTGGTCTGCCTTGCTTTTGACGCCAAGTACTAGATACTAAAGGCCTCTGACGCAGTACAGATAGTCTTAGTTTACCAATAACAACCAAATCCAAAAGCTATAAATGTTACAATGGGAGGTTGGAAGTCGTCGAAGATGCGTGCGAGACAATTCGTAATAACTCTACAAAACAGCACGTATCACTCGGCTCAGAAGGGAAATCGGTCTGTAGTTCTTCAACAGAGCCTTGTCGCCTGTCTTGAATAATAAGACCGCTGCACTTCTGCTCCACGCCTCCAGAGTAGTGCTACCATGAAGGACGGAACTGAACAGCTTCTGAAGAACTTGAAGTACTGGTTTTCAACCCGCTTTCAGAATCTCCGTTGTAATTCCATCCTTGCCCGGGGCCTTCCCGTTTTAAGGTGCTGGAGGGCAATTTTAATTTCGCTCAGATTGACGTCCGAAATATCATTGGAATAGTGTCGAATAAAAGGTGCCCTTGGATCGTTACTCACAATTGCGTGTGGCTTCAACAAAGATGTGTACAGCTGGCCGTAGAACCTCTCAATCTTACTTAAAATCTCAGGTGTCTCGGAAACGATGCTACCATATTCGGTCTTCAGCTTCGACAGTTGGCTCTTTCTGACTGATAGGCCTCTGGCGAAAACTTTGGAGTCTCAGTTGCGTTCGATCGCTTCTTCAATACGAGCAACATTGAAGTTACGTAAGTATCGCCGCATGTATTTGGAGATATGTCTTTTCAGTTGTCTGTATTCCGTCTTATCTGCTGAAATCAGCGGCTTCATTTCCCATCTAACAGCCATGATAATCAGAGTATGATCAGAGAGTTTCTGGTTTCTTCTGTGACGGGTCTTGCAAAACTTACGTAGCTCTGACCGCATGGATATTTTCCACGATCCTGTCATTCATGTCATCCACATTATTGCAATTTTCTAACCACTAAAAACGGTTTTGTAATTTGAGCTAAACGTTTTTGGGGCTTTGAATGCACGAGAGGGACGTCACCAATGGAATTTTTAACCAATGGAATTTTTAATTAAGTGCTGATTTATCAAGTGCATATCGGTGCAGGAAAACATCTTGAAGAAGCCTGTATATTATCTAAGAATAAAAAAATCTTTAAAGGATATGTAAATCCTGTCGATAAACGAGAAAGTGTTGCCTTAAAATCCTCTTTGGGTTGTCAGGAGGCCTGCATTAGCTTGCAGTAGGATCAATAACCTACAATGGGGTAAAATAAAAGTTAAGTAAAGTCACAGCCTATACGTCGTAGCTTTTTACGATACATACTGGAGGAAATGAGGATATTAATATTTCAAGTAAATTCATTATTTTTAGAAAATATGCGGAGCGTTTATACATGATGCTGCGACCACTTGCGAACTTCGAGGCTTACTTTCTCACCGACGTGGACGTCGAAGTCGCTTCCAGGCAAATGAAGAAATTCGACCAACTCCTTAAGCTGGATTCGAAAGATAGATGAATGACGTGGGGTTCCGATTGTTGTTTTTTCGAAGTGGACCGTTTTGAAGTCGTTATTTACACGAGCAAGTGTCTTGCGTTACTGTCAATAATATTTTTATGTATCTAAATGATGCAATATAATATTATTCCGTTATCGGCTACAGGAGACCGTGGCCTATTCTACTTAATATAACATTGTATTATAACTGCCGTATCTTGACTTTTTCAAGTTTTATATCAGTCTTAAGAACTGCCGAGTCATACTGACTCACTAACTGTGATACACTTGTTCGCGTAGATACTAAAATATGTTTACCAGGTTGGTTAGCCAAATTGCGTTGCTACAATCGTTAACGCTTATAGTAACGAATAATTGCCATTCGTTTCAACCTACATATTATCTTAACGCAAGTCACGTGATTTATCGTTAATTATATTAATTTTCATAGTTTTCTATTAGATAGGTATAGATTCAATTATTTATTTTATTTGTTTTTTAGTATTTATGTTACACGAGATATTATTAAATACTATGTATACCTATCTATTACATACTATACTAGAATTATTTTGTCCGTGCAGTTTGGTTCATAAATCATCGGAGTATTTCGCTCTCTCTCCCACTCACGGGCCTTAGGGGCGAGCATAGTGATGCGCATTATTGTTGTCGATAAGCGTTATTGATAGTGTATTTATAACAACACGTGCTTGTGCTGGTATATTGGTGCCAACAGGTAAAATATTGTTTTGAATAAATTCTGCCGTTTTGGTACAAAACAAAGGAGTAGCCATTGTTTCACTAAAGAAATTCAGAGAGCGAATGCGCAAAATAAATTTCTCTTCGATAAACGTACTAAATTATTATTGCACTAATTTGCAGGTATTAGGCGGGGGTAATAATGGAAAACAAATGACTCATAACATAACAATGTCGCACCACCCTTTGTATACCGCACCGCCGCCGTATACCTGCCTTCGATGATTCATTTGTTGTTATCGATCATGGCATTGCGCCCGCGCAACATGCTCACCACCATAGCCAGGCTGACGCCACGCTATTATTTATGACCCCAACTACACGGACAAAATAATTTTACTATAAGCCCTAATAGAGATATGCAAATATGTTTTTTTTTTCTTTGAAATTTTTGTTTTATAAAAAATAACGTATCGAAATCAATCATTATCAAATCATTAAATCAGCAACACAACTGCGGTGCACAGCAACTACGGTAGCGTAAGTAGCGACTGTAGAAAAGCAACTTGGCAACCCTGGCTGATCATTAAGTTCCTTATTCTTTCTCTCCTTCATTCATAGATTCATTATATTTATAACCCATCTCAAATCCCTGGCAGGCTTTCGAAGGTTAGCTTCCACAATTTTTTTTTCTTTACACAATTACCTACATACTCTTACTGTATTAAATTATGTTTTATAAAATTGTATATAATGAAATTTATTGCGTAGCTGCGTCATTTGTATTCTTCATACGTTCCGAGGATGTGTATGTAAGTTCAAGTATGCAATACGTAGAATTTATAATTTATAGAACTTTCATATATAAATGTAAATAAATCACTTTATTTTTTAAAATTATTCAATCCGGGTAAAACAAAATTGTAAATTTATGAAACAGTTATAAATTAAATAATTACTTAATTGAAAAGATTTGTTTCTTATCATTCCATTTCTACAAATGATTCAGTGTTATGCTGGCTGTCATGTTTGAACAAAATATGTAAGCTCATTAAAATTATAAATATAGACTATGAGTCATAGAATATACAATAAAAATTTTAAATTATATAGGTAAATTAAAACGTACTCCTTGTCGAAAAAGGGCAAAATTTTTGAGTTAAACTAGGAAACTACATTTTTGATAAATTCGTTGGATGTCAATTTTCGAACGAAACTGGATCAGAGTTGGCTAGTGTTGGCGCATTCGCCGCGGGTATCTGTTCCGAATGACGTTATTAAACACAACAAAAATATGCACCTCAATTAGTCGTGTGCATCAAATCAATGGAATTAATGATTCGGTTCACCAATATACACAGTCTTACACAGACACAGACAGAGACAAAATAAATAAAGGCAGAATAAATTCTATGAATAAAGGATAATCTTAAAATGGACTATAGAAGATTTGTTGGCCGCGACTTCGCCCGCGTGTAACTTATTACGATTGGATTTCATGAGTTTAATTTTTTTTGCGCGGAACCCTAATTCTTGTTCTAAAATAAAAATAGCCTAAGTTACTCCGTATAACATCAGATATCTGCCAGTGAAAGTCTTGTCAAAATTGCTCCAGCCATTCCGGAGATTAGCCGCAACAAATAGACAGACAAAATTTTTAAAATTTGTGTTTTTGTTACCGTTTATACTTTCATATGCATTAGGTAAAAAGCTGTGTTACAAACAGACACATCAAATTAATTTATTTATATTGATAAATATAGATTTACATTTATGTACGCACCGATCACAAATTAATAAATTTCCTAGTTTTTTTTTGTCAATGATATGTTACTTTAATTGTGCCGATAGATAGGCAGTAATGTAAGCTATATTATGAAGTAGTGGTTTTTAATAAATTTTGTTGCACTTTTGGTTAATAAAACCTTTAAATTATTTTGCCATATCAAAAATCGTATAAAATCTCGTTAAATATGTGTTTAAACTAGATTTCTAATTGATTACACACCACTGAGCTTCGTATATACCGACTAGTACGCAGGACCGACTATACCCTACAAAACGTTTGTGCCGATTTAAAGCGCCGCTATTGAGTGTACCGTTCACTAAATTTGACATAATTTGCAAATGGCCGTTGTTCTGCACAAAACGTCTAAGAGTATTTAAAGTTTTAATAAATGCACAGGCGTGTCACTTTGTAAAAATCTGAGGTATGGAAAATGGTGGCGCGATTTTCAAATTTGTTCGCATTACTCGTGGGGTATTAAGGTTTAAGAGTTTGCAGTGTATATACTCAACTTATTTATTGAACTATAAGATGTGGGGTATTGAGGTTTAAGGGCTTGCTTGGTTTATCTTCACGCACAATCCCTGACGGGGTAGCCAGAGAGAACAGATCGCCAAGTGTCACGATCCTTACATATCTCTTTCGCTTCTTTCAGATTCATTATCTTCTTCATACATGCACGTCTAGGTATCCGAGTACTCTTGACCCTACCCTCTTCGAGCAATTTGCTCACATGGTCTTCGAAAGTTAGTCTCGGTCTACCTCGACACCTTTTAATATTAACTTTCGCGCTATATATTTTCTTCACCATTCGGTCTTCACTCATTCGCTCAACGTGCCCAAACCACCGAAGCACGCCCTTATCAATTTTTGTGATAAGGTCATCTTTCAAACCTGCCATATTGCGAATCTCTTCGTTTCGCTTTCGGTCGGCCATAGTAACGCCGCACATTTTACGAAGAGATCGCATCTCCACTGCATTCAACTTACTTTTATGCTTCTTCTGGCATACCCAGGTTTCGCTGCCATATAACAAAGTCGGTACCAACACTGCGTTATGTATTGCAAGGCGTGCACTCTTCGCTACGCCTTGCCTTTTGACTAACGCAGTCAGGGCACCATTGACTTTGTTCCCGGCAGCGACACGCCTGTCCACATCTAAATCACATCTTCCATCCCGGCTAAAAGCACTCCCCAAGTATACAATTTCATTTACCTGTTCTAGACATTCCTGATTTACCCATATTTCACACTTCGTTCTCTCTTCGTCCCTTTCAAATACCAGAACCTTAGTTTTATTAGCATTCAAACGGAGACCTTTAATTTCACATTCCTCTTTCATACACGTGACTAATGCCTGCAGTTCTGCCTCTGATGGTGCAATAAGCACTGCATCATCAGCATACAGCAGACAATTTACTTTTATGTCACCCAATTTCACACCCAAACAGCTATCTTTCAGCTTTTGTAAACAGCTGTCGAGATACAGTATGAACAGCCAGGAAGACATGACACAACCCTGTTTTACGCCCGTTTGGACGCTAAACATGGGTGACAGGTCATGCCCTACCCGCACACAGGCTTTACAGTCACAGTAAAGAGGCTGCACAGCCCTTAGAAATCGGCCATCCACACCATACCCCGGCAACAGTTCCCACATTTTCTTCCTTACAACCTTATCAAATGCTTTCTCAAGATCCACAAAAGCACAGAAAATCTTCTGGTTAACAGCCAGAAGCTTTTCCGTGATCATACGGAGAGAAAACATTTGATCCGTGCATCCTCTTCCAGGTCTAAATCCGCATTAAGGGCTTGCGATTTATTTATATGGGGTTTGTAGTAATATGCGATTTATTTCCTAATTTCAGCTATGGAATTCCATACCTTGAAAAACTTGAGGTATGGAGTGCTCCATACCTTCCATAGTGGAAGTGACACCCCTGTAAATGCATATGAAAGTATATACGGTACTTATAACAAAAATACTATTTTTAAAATTTTTGTCTCTCTGTCTGTCTGTCTGTTTGTTCCGGCTAATCTCCGGAATAGCAGTTCTAGCAGATATCTATTCGATATATAATCGAATATATTTTATGTCTACCTGGTACGAATACTCCGGTAGAAAGAGTATTTTTTTATTTTGAATAAATTGTGGACGTCTGAAAGAAACACTTACGGTTCCAGAGTTCTAAAGGCGATGTTGTTAACAAAGATAACAATAAAAAAACTTGAGCAGAATTTTATTTTTATTTAAAATCATCACCAACTTTATTAAAGCAAATTTAATCCACTGACAAATGTAATTAATAATTTAAAAAAAATATGTTGCATTTAATAATTACCGTCTATACCGAATATAATTTTATAGTGAACACTAATTGTATAAAGTTATAGTTTTTAGTTAGTTTATAGTCTTTCTGTCTGTCTATTAGTTCTGGCTAATCTCCGAAACGGCTGGACCAATTTTGACCGAACTTTCACTAGCAGAATGCTGATGTTATAAGAAGTAACTTAGGCTACTTTTATTTTAGAAAAA